ACACGAATCTCGCTTCCCCTCGGTCCCTTAGGGGCTCTTTCTGCACCAAAGTTCCCCCACCTGGTTGGTAGCCCCCAGGCCCTTGCGTGAGACCCAGAGCAGCCTTGTCCAATAGCGTCCTGTGAGTCACGTAGGTAGGGTTACACAGTCCCAGCAGTCGCATTCGAAAAGGGAGAGAGGAGCAGGTGAGATTAATTTTATCAGTGTATTGGATCTACCCCACACAACCGAAATAGAATCATGTCCACATGTAACGACATACAAAGATTGATAGGTATACCTATTTTTTTTTTCTGGAAGCGAGTCTTCGGAATCCAGTGTGCATTTTACACAGCCATGTCAGTGATGGCCTATCCCATGTAAGAGCCACCTGTGGCTACCACATTGGAGAGCACAGATCTTGCATCTTTTTCTGTCCCGAGCTCAGTTTTCTCCTCTCCCCTAGGAAAGGTGTGCCCTGGTCCTAGTCTCTGAGCAGCCAAGTCCACCTACCCTGGGGCACCATGCTGCCAGCCACCTACCCCACTGTCATCAGGCCGATCCTGACTAAGAGCAGGTAGACCTGCCTCTGTGCGTTTCTGAGACTATCACTCTTTGGAGAAGCAGAAAGCCTCATCTTGCTCCCATGGAGCAGCTGGTGGTTTCGAACTGCCGACCCAGCTCGTAACCACGATGCCACCAGGGCTCCTGCAGCAGGCTAGAGTGCAAAGAAACCCCAAGCCAGCGTGGGTGGGGGGAGGGGGAGCAGGTTGAGATAGCAGCTAGGAATGCTTCCTGTCCCTCTCTACGGAGCCAGCTCACACAAGCCCTGGGGACAGGGACAGGGATGGGGGCAAGCGTCTCGGAGGAAGACAGCCACAGCCTGCTTGTCCTCCGATCCCAAAGATTCCCTTAATTGGAAATTCAGCCAGGATGTAAAATCGAGCCTGGCAGCCACCCCCAAGAGCAGCCTCCGGGCACACCAGGAAGCAGGAGAGAACCCAGCTTCCAGAGAGCGGGTCAGGAGGCATTCTCTCAGCAGTGCCACGCAGAGGAAGCTGGCCCCCAACTTCTTACTGCTTCCCAGGCACAGGTCCCTCAGCCCTCCCAGTGGGGGTCGGAGGGGAGTGCTCACTCCTGTCCAAGCTCATACTTCCTCTCACCTGCGGAAACCAGGTGCTTGATCATGACAGCGCTAGCCGCTCAGAGCAGCCTTCACAGCTCAGGACTCCTCAAATTCCATGAGGAATGCACTGAGAAACTGCCCCGACCAGAAGAGACGAAGGAACAGAGGTGTCCCTATGGAAAACAGCACCTGCGACAATTGCTTTAAACTGTTGCGGTGGGGAAACTCCTCAGGTGGCGACCAGAGTAGGTGCCACAACAACCATGCCTTAGATCTCCCTCTGCTAAGGAGACGTGAAGACCACCTGCAATGTGGTATCCTGGATGGGACTCTGGGACAGAGAGAGACCATTGCTGGAACAACCAGTGAAATTCAAATAAAACCGAGGGAAATTCAGATAAAACTAGTAAAATTCAACAAACAATCTCGTTGCCCGAGAGTCGATTCTGACCCACAGTGACCCTATAGGACAGGGTAGAACTGCCCCTGTTCTGTTCATGGAAGAAGAGAACCTCGTCCTTCTCCCGAAAAGTCACTAGTGGTTTCGAACTGCTGACTTTGTGGTTTGCAGCTTAGCATGTAACCACTATGCCGCCAGGGCTCTCTGAAATTTGATTAAAGAGGTCATTACTGGGGAAAAAGAACGAAAATCAAAAAAAAAAGGGCCAATGGTTCCCGTAACGGAAAAAACAAGTAAAAAAAAAAACTAGTGAAATTCAAACTAGTTCACCCTACTCTTATGGACCAACGTTGGTGTTGCCAAAGACATGATGGTGGTTGCGGTGCAGCGAATTCCTTAGCATAGCAGGGCCCTCCCAGCCGTGGCCCAGCACTGTGGTGGATGCTGTCATCGCCACTCAGATTCCTCATTAGGACCGGAGACTGATTCCCACAGCTGCTCAGAGTGCTGCCAGCCCCTCCGGGGACCGTCCTCAGGCAAAGAGAGTCGACCTGCCCCAGGTTGGATGCATCCATAGCCGGGAATAGAAAGATTCAGCCTCCTCACCTCAAACGGGGACACCCTGAAGGGCACCTCCACTTGACGCTCCCCCTGTGATCACCGGAGATCACCAGTCTCTGCCCCCATGAGCACCGATTCAGAGAACGCACCCCGATTGCATCGGAGGTCTGCCTCTCAGGGAGCTGGGAAGGCAGGAACCGCTAGGGCTGTGAGATCTTCCTTCACCTTCAGAACAACCTCATTCTTTTTTTGGCTTTTGTTTTTTTAAATCATTTTATTGGGGGCTCGTACAACTCTTATCACAATCCATACATCCATCCATTGTGTCAAGCACATTTGTTGCCATCATCATTCTCAAAACATTTCCTTTCTACTTGAGCCCTTGATATCAGCTTCTCATTTTCCCCCCTTCCCCAACTCCCCTTTCATGAACGCTTGATAATTTATAAATTATTTTGTCATGTCTTACACTGCCCAATGTCTCCCTTCACCCACCTTTCTGTTGTCTGTCCCCCAGGGAGGGGGTTATAGGTAGATCCTTGTGATCGGTTCCCTCTTTCCAACCCACCTTCCCTCTACCCTCCTGGTATCGCCACTCTCACCACTGGTCCTGAAGGGTTAATCTGTCCTGGATTCCCTGTCTTTCCAGTTCCTATTTGTACCAGTGTACATCCTCCGGTCCAGCCAGATTTGTAAGGTAGAATTGGGATCATGATAGTGGAGGGAGGAAGCATTTAAGAACTAGAGGAAAGTTGTATGTTTCATCGTTTCTGCACTGCACCCTGATATGATTTTTTTGTTCTTTGATACCTGATGCCTGATCCCATCAACACGTCGTGATCACACAGGCTGGTGCGCCCAACAACCTCATTCTTACAGGCCTCAGAGGCTTAGAGAAAAAAACAGATTTGTCCAAGGACATGCTGACTCAGATACTGAAGGACAACTGATTTGACCGGGTCACAGAATGAAAAGGCAGCCGGCCCCAGGTGGCACAGTGATTTAGTGCTCATCAGCTAATTGGAAGGCCAGTGGTTCTCTGAAAGGAAGGTGTGGCTGCCGGCTTCTAGAAAGATTACAGTCTTGGAAACCCTATGACAATTGCACTCTGTCATGTGAGTCTGAAAGTGGCCCTTGTGGTATCGTGGGTTACACATGGGCTGCTAACCCCAAGGTTAGTAGTTCTAAACCTTCAAAGGGATGGTGACCCACAGGTTGAGAACCGCTGCCTTAAGGTGATCTTTAAAACTTATCCCCCCCCAAAAAAATCCCCTAAAATCGTCTTAAAACCAAACAATAGTTTAGCCTCGCTAGTAAAACAATAAAAATCCTGTAAAGAGTTACAGTCTCAGAAACCCACAGGGACTACACTGTTCTGTAGAATCACTACCACATAGAATCTACTTAATGGCAGTGAAGGACTGAGAGAGAGAGTCAAAAAATCTACCTTGAGCATTACAGTTTTCTAAGACCTGTCCACACCTGTTCAAAAAGACAACAGCAACTTACAGGACTGAATAGGAACTCTAGGGGAAGGTGGGTTTATGTCAATGGGAAGGAATAATTTAGAAAGGGGGCTGATAGTCATTCTCCAGCTCAGAGAATGTAATCACTGCCATGGAAGAGCACATGCAGAAGTGGTTGAATGGATGTGTGTTTTGCCATGTACAATCTCAGCAACAACATTTTCACAATGAAATGGCACTTGGCACAGAGTAAGCATGGTAAATGTTGGAGAAAACCTTTGAGCTTTTTCTGAAGTATAACGGGGGATGAAAAGGTGGGTGGGTGCTGGGTAGATGGGAGAGTAGATGTACACATGGTTAGGTAGATGGCTTCTTAGGGGGGTTGAGGGCATGGAAGTATGAACGGATCACTGAACATAAATATGGGTTATATGCAGGAGGGAGGGGAAAAATGAGGACCTAATGCCGGGGGCTTAAGTGGAGAGGAAATGTTTAGAGAATGATGAGGCAATGAATGTACAAATGCGCTTTACATAATTGATATATGGATGGATTGTGATAAGAGTTGTATGAGCCCCTAATAAAATGATTTAAAAAATATGGGTTATATGGATGGAAAGATGGATGATGGGGTGGGATGGTGTGAGGGGATGTTTGGGTGGATAGACAGGAGTTGGGTGATGGGAGTCGTTGAGTAAAGGATGGGTGTGGGTGGGAGGACAGGAGCAGCTATGTGAATGGATTGGTAGATGAGGGAACAAGTGTTGGGTGGTTGGATTGGTAGCTAGCTGGGTGGATGGATTAGGATGAGATGGTTGGATGAATAACAAGAAAGTTGAGTGGGTGAATGGTGTAGATGCGAACACGGCTGGGTGGCCGGGTGGCTGTTCAGGGGCATGTGAGGAAGCTTGGTGGGTCAAAAGGCCATGTGTATAGAAGGTTTGATTGTGGGAATCGCTGGAAGATATTGTGGAGGCTAGACCACCACAATAAAGAGAACATTGCAATAGAGCAAGTCACGTGAGTCGTTTGCCTATAAAAGCCATGTTTATACTAACCTGGAGCCGGCTAAGTGCACACAAGCGCTATCATTATGCCAATGTTTGAAATGCTGTGAGCATGACCAACATGTGACACGCGGAACAGAAGGGAGGCCCTAATGTTTCGGGAACGGCACTGACAGACTTAATCCAGGCGGGATTGCCATAAACCTTCCGCTTTTTAAAAACAACCCACCCCTAAACCTGCAGTTTCTTGGGGGGCACAGTGGAATGAGGTGTGCCTGTCGTTTCAGTGGCTGGAGGGATGGAAAGGTGGGTGGGTGGGCGGAGCTCCTATTAGCGGCGCCCATTAACCTCTTCAAGGTCACGGCGCAGCCCTGCGGGTCAAAACCAGAGATGCAGGCTCCCAACGGGGCCTCCCCCGTAGCCTGCGGCCGAGGCCCGGAGCGGCCCGCTGGGGTGGGCTCCTACCTGGACGTGGCGATCTCCGCCTTCTGGCGCGCGATGGCGGCGGCGCGCTGGGCGCCCTCCACGCTGTGCTCGACCTTCTGGCGGACCTTGCCGTTCTTGAGCGGCAGCACGCGGCGCTTGGTGCCCTTGACCAGCACGTTGTGGCGGTACTTGCCCTCCTCGCGGTGGCCGTTGGGCAGCGTGGTGCAGCCGTAGCCGTGGCGCAGGTTGTCCAGCCACTCGCCCTCGTAGCGGAGGCCGCTGGACCGCTCGCTCACGCCGAAGCCCGAGCGCCGGTCGTTCTTCCACTCGCCCATGTAGGTCTCGGTGGTGGTGGCGTCGATGTCCGCCTCGAAGGGCGCGGCCTCGTCGGCGCCCTCGGCGCCCTCGCCCAGGCTGGCGGTGGAGGCGGCGTCGCTGGCCCCCGAGCTGAGGTCGCCCTTGAGGAAGCTCACGCGGCTGCGCTGGCTGCCCAGCGACGTGCGCGACTCGGCGCGGCCCAGCTTGCCCAGCAGGGCGCCCCGCTGGAAGAGGCCGCCGCCCTTGGGCGCCCGGGCGGCCGCCTCGGCGTTGGCCAGGAGGCTGAGCGCGAAGCCGCCGCGCGGGGTGACGGGCAGGGGCAGCGTCGGGCCGTCAGCGGCCGTTGAGGCGGGCGAGTCCGGGGCCACCGTGCCGTTGCTGTGCTCGCTGCGCAGGGACGAGAGCGACGTGCGCAGCGGCGATCGCACCACCACGGCCATCCCGTAGGGCACGCTCTGGCGCACGCCGTAGCCGTGGCGCATGCCGTTGGTGAACTGGCCTTGGTAAGTCCCTGCGGGCGAAGGGAGTGCGCGTTAGTGGCACGGAGTCCCCACACGGGCACAGTGGGGTGGGGTAGAGAGGGAGGCATGCTCTAGGCCCCGCAGGGCTGGGAGACAGCAGCCCATCTGAGGGGCAACTGGTGCCAAGTTAGGGAGGCAGGAGAGGCTCCATGGGTGTGCAAGGAGTTTGTGCACTGGTGTGAATGCTCAGTGGGTGGGAGGGCATGACTGTATGACTGTTAGTCTAGGAAGTGTGAACAGTGTATAGGGTTGGCATGAGGTTGATGTGTGATCAAAGATAGGATTGGACCAGCCCTCTATGGCCTGTCTGATGGTGATATTGCCATTGCTGCGGACATGCAAGGCCACAGGTGTGCAAGACAGGGTGCTGCCTGCTCAACTTTCCCTTTCCCCACAGCACACAGTACCTTCTAACACTTGTATGCTTAACACACCGCTTTCCTCCCCTGTCTGGAATGGAGGCTCCTGTGAGGGGAGAGGCCTCTAAGGGTTGGCCACTGCCTGGCTCGGAAGAAAAAGGACTCACTGCCATGGAGCCACTTCGGACTCACAGCAATGCTGTAAGACAGGGTGGACCTGCCCCTGGGCGTTTCTGGGACTGCCTTCTGCAGAGTCAGGTGGTTTCGAACTGCTGACCTTGTGGTTAGCAGCCTAACACATAACCACTACACCCACCACCAGGGATCCTCTATAGGTGGTGGAGTTGCTCTATAAAGATTTGTTGGATGGCCGGCTGACCCTGACCAGAAACTCAATCAAATTGTGTGACCTTGTGAAATGCCCTTGCTTTCTGGTGGCCTCCATGTCCCCATCTTCGAGTGACACATGGAGTGTGAAGCTCTCTAGGGGTCAGCCTTTCTCTGTGGTGCTAGTGTCCTAGGAATTGGGGCCCAGAGATGTCCTCACAGGTCTCTCCAGTGGGTAGTGGAGCAGCTCATGGTCCTACACCACCCGCCCCAGCCCTTTCTGGAATAACAGCCCCCAGTCAGGAACACCAACAGGGCGTAGGGCTCACCTAAGCCTCCCCACAGCCCTATCAAGGAAATCCCAGGATTGTTCTCCTGCAAAGAAGAGGAAGTTGGCGGTCTGAGAGGTTTAACAACTGGCCCAAGAAAGCAGGATTCAAACCCAAGTCCATCTGATGCTGGAGGCCATGCTCTGAGCCCGTGATTCTCCATCCTGACTGCGCATTACAGGCACTCCAAAACTCCAAACCAAATTTTCCACCCTCAAATCGATTCTGACTCAGAACAATCTTGTGGGACATAATAGAACTGCCCCGTTGGGGTACTGACAGGAATTCTTCACAGGAGCAGACAGGCCCGTCTTTCGAACTACTGACCTGACAGTTAGCAGCCCAAGGTCTAGGTCACTGTGCATGAAGGGAACTTTAAGAAATTCTGATTTCTGGGCTCCACCACTAGAGAATTTGATTGAATGAGTTGGAGCGGGCCCCTAGGGCTCCCACTGCCCGTGTACATCTTGGGTGTCCAGGCCCTGTGTAGGGCAGGCAGGAGCAGCTGGACATCAGGGCTCCTCTCATTTCAATGACCAGCCATGGGAAACTCATCATTATGGAATACCAGCTCGACAAGGGTCCAAGAGAGATGGGGGCAGATGAGGAGAGGTGAACCCTGGGCGCGACTTCATGGAGAAGGAGGAGGAACTATGATCTCCATTCCGTAGGTACATTGATGTTCAGAGGAGGTAAGTGACTTGCCCAAAGCCAGGTAGAGAGGCAGCACAGAACTGGGAGTCTGTTACAAGTGAAGTCAAGTCTTTGCATGGCCCAGCATCTCCCAGAAATTGTCCCGCTCACCCACAGGAAAAGCTGAAGCCTGTAGGGACCCACAAGGCTGTCTCTGGTTTCATCCCCATACCGCCTCAGTCCCTGTGCCCTCCCATTCTCTCCTTCCACTCTAGCCGCAAGATCTTGCTGGGCCTCCCACACACTGGCCAAGGTCCTGCCTCAGGGCCTTTGCATTTGCTGTTGCTGTGTTTCATTCTGCTGTGCACAGGGTCACTGTCAATCGCAGCCCACTAGATAGCACCTAACAACAGCAGCAGCCACCTGGGATAGTCTCCCTCCAGATACTTGTAGATCCCTGCATGGCTTGCTCCTTGGCCATCTTCAAATCTTTACTCAGATGGTGTCTCTTTAATGAAGCCTCCCTAGACGACCCAAATGAAAATTGTAATCCCTCGCCCCCAATTTCCTATATTCGTCCCTTGCTTGATTTCCCTCGGAGCATGCCTAATAAAACTAATCATTTGCTTTTTGTTTCGTGTATTGACCGTCTCCCTGACCAGAATGCGAACTCCATAAAAGCAGGCTTTTCTATTTTGTTCACTGCCGGGTCCTCATGCCCTAGAACAGCCCCAGATTGGCACTCGGGAATTTTTGATAAATGCCTGAATGAGCAGCTTGCGTTCTAGAACAGGAGTCTGACCTCTTTCTGTGAACCCAGCCTTACGGAAACAAATAGGCAAGGGCGTTATGGTTTCTTTAAGGAAAAGACGAAGGCCCACCCACCGAGGACACACGATTCGCCCAAGATGACACAGCTCAGAAATGTGACCTGGGTTCCTTTGACTTGTCAGAAGAAAGGGAGAGAGGGAGAAGACTCGGAAGAGGGAAGTGAACGAGCCTACATCAGCGACGTTGGCATGTGGGGAAATGGAATCCACCAGCCCATCCTTCGCTTCAGTTGGCATGCCCTGGTCCCTTTAAGCCCAGGAAGACTGAGATTGCAACATGAGAACAGCTCTGGTCCACCAGTTGGGGAGGAAATGGCCTAGCTATATTAGGAAACGTACAAGCATATGACAAGGGACAGGGACACCCAGGGGAGGCAGGGAGTGCCGGGGCCCTGGGAAGGGGGAAAAGCCAAGTGCCCCGGCCATCCCCCGCCTGACTCTCTCTATACAGGACAGTTCTGCGGATGGGGCAGGGTGGGGCAGCTGGGGAGGGAGAGAAAGAGGCCCCAGTCTGCTGAGAGGGCCCTCTGTGGAAGGGAGTGGTTCTCCCAGGCCCTTTGGGCTGCAGCCTTTTTTTATGGCTGAAACCAGCCCTGAGAAGAAGGAACCAGATCCGTGGGATCACACAGCCCGCCCATCACTCCCCTACCTTACCCCCGCCTCCACACACCCCTCTCCTCCTTCACCTTCACCTGCTCCCCAGCAATGCTGGCCGCCCCACCCCGGGGCCTAGCTCTCTTCTTATGTTTCAGGTCCACTCCTGTGGATACTTCAAGTTCTGGCTTAAATGTGACATCTCCCAGGAAGATTTCTCGCACTGCTGGGAACAGTCTCAGCCTATCATGTCACCCTCCACTTCCTCTCGGCCCTTTTCCCAAGCCCTGTTCAACAATACTTCCAACTGTCGGTGCCCCTGAAGGCTTCTCTGCTAGGTGTTGGCTTCCGTGAGGAGGCAGCGTGTTTAGCTGACTGCCACTGTGACCCCAGCACCTAGCACCGGGCCCAAGCCCCAGGAAGTCCTCAGTAAACAGCTGCTCAACCCAGGTCTTCTCCTGTGTGTGTGACACCCACGTTCTTCCAGGAACTTAAAGACCCACATCTCTTTGCCCTCAGGACTCAGAGTGCACTACGTGCTTAATTCTGAAGCCTTAATCACAGTGGCTGCCCAGTGCGATCAGGGACAGGTTCAGTAGTCCCAATGCTGGGAGTGATTGGGGTTCTCATGAAAAGTTAGGGCAGGTCATGACCTTAGCAAACACCATCCTGTTCCTCAGATGGGGCTCCTGAATGAAATAAAGCCCAAATGTCACCTTTCTCCCTGGTCAGTATAGACAGACCCTGGGAGCAGTCAGTGCCCTGCCGTGTTCCTGTGGCCTCTGCACCCACCAGCCTACGATCCCCCAGCTTCCCCCTGTGCCTCCTTGCTCCATCTGCCTGTGGTGGTGTGGGTCTGGAGGTACCTCCAGCTAGCATCTGACCTGTGGACCGTGTAAAATCCTTTCTTGATAAAAGGTTCTTCTTAACCATTTGAGTGCCCTGGTTTTGTTTCTCTATAGAGCTCACCCTAACACTGAAATGTGATAAATGTTAGCTAAATCTTTCCTCCGGATCAGGCGGTCACTGTGTGAGGGGCTTGTAGATAGCAATGACCTACAGAGACGTGGCTCCTGCTCACCAGGGGCTCGGAATGTCATGCCAGAGGGAGACGAAACGTAATCATCCATCTCAGAATACATGTCTGGAAGCCACAGCAGTGGTTCAGACAAGAGCTAATGGTCTGGGTCTTGGATGGCAGTGGAGTGGGGGGGTTGGTTGACCCTTGGACTAAGTGAACTAGCATATGGAGACAGCTAGCAGGAACCCTGGTGGCATACTGATTACCTGTGGGGCCAACCACCACAAGGTCAGCAGTTTGAAACCAGGAGTCACTCCTCAGGAGAAAGGTGGTGCTTTCCACGCCAGTAAAGAGGTACAGTCTCGGAAACCCACAGGCTCAGAGCTACCCTGTCCTATAGGCTTGCTCCAAATTGGAATCTACTCCCTGGCAGTGAGTTTGTTTGCTTGCTTGCTTGAGCAGGGAGCCAAGAAGTCCTGGTGACACGATGTTGAAGTGCTCAGTGGCTAAGCAAAAGATCCGAGTGTTGGGAGCCACCAGCTGTTTCCGAGGAGAAAAGACCTGGCAAACTGCTCCCCTGGAGATCCACCCAGGGAACCCGAGGGAGCCATTGGACTCTGTCCCATAAGGTTGCTGGGAGTCAGAGTCCACTCTGACACACACAACAGCAGCACAGTGTCTCGCACACAGTAAATGCGCAGTACAAACCAGCTTTTTGGCAGATCAGAGTCAGCTTGGGGAGGCTGGCCCAGAAAGGATTGACTGGGAAGATGAAAAGGCACTAGAGAGGACAGAAAGCTCGGAGGGAGAGAGAGGGGTCAGCACAGGTTCTTCCTCCGTCTGGCTGCCTGCTGGGCCCTGGGACACCTCGTGTCCTGGCTTAGGGCACTGCCTTCC